AGACATTACAGTAAAATTGTATTTATGCTTTTACATTATTTCACTTTCTTATGTTCTTTTACAAACAACGTAAATACAGTAATTAATAAATATCACAACAAGAAATGACCAAAAAAAAACAAAAACATGGAAATGGAGTGTAACCACCTGTTTCTCCACTATTTCTCCCATTTGTAAATATTAAAAAATCTGTAGGCCTATCTTATTAACCGTTCCCGAGTTTTTTGTCACACCCTTTTTGTGTCTTGGAAAAACCAATTCAATGTATGACCGTTGAGCAATGATTCCAACTTCGGTCAGTGTGCGTGCTAGACGAGGTGACGCTGATTGTCAGTCTGAATGCATCGTCATTAAAAAAATGAAACGCTGGGAACACGTTGTGGAATTCTCGATAGAATCGCCTCCACCAATGACAATCGTACTCAGTGAGTTCCCGCTTGCTAATAATGATATTGTAAACAAACGTACACAGAATGCAATTTGTTTGGCAAAGACATGTTTAATATTCAAAATAAATCACTCACACAAAAACAAAACAAAAAAACTCTTGTGATCATGAATCTACTCCCGTTATCATATCCGCATACCGGAAAAAATCTCAGGTCATAAAATATTTATGAAATTTATTATCAATTAAAAACGTTTACAGTATTTACAGCTTTATACAAAACTTTCCTTTTTTACAATCTATATAATGGACCATATTGAACAGTCATAAAACTATATTGTTGTTGTTATATGCCAATAAGGACACTTGTGCTAAAAACATTTCACCAGGAATTTTGACGAAATTCACAAATAAAAAAAAATCATTCTGTGAAATCTATCAATTACTGTATAAATAAAAAAAATGTTCAAAAAGTCACTAAACATGTTCCAAAACAAGTGATTCTTATTTTAAATAAATTCTAATTATCTCACACTTGTTCCTTGCTTATTAATAACTCATTAATGGCTAATATTTTCACCCATAGAATAACTGGCATTATTAATGTTAGCATAAAAAAAAATTAGATACAAAGTTACTGTACAAATCTATTCATATCTTCAATGCTTTCAAATTATGGCAATGGTATGGACACGAGAGGGCGCTCTTGCATTTTTAAGCACACTGTTTTAGTTAAATCAATTCTTGTATGTTTCAAGGTATTTCGATCAAAAGCCTACCGCACAGAGTACAGAATTCTTTGCTACTGGTGTATCAATTTTCATAGAGTTTCTATCAGTGAAACATTAATAGCAAAAGTCAAAAGCACATTAACTTTGCAAATAAAGTTAACAAATAGGAATCAAATTTATCTACAAACTGCAATATAAAGTAAAATATTATTATCATCAACACCACATGCATTAATAAATTTTAATGGAAACAAAAAAATAGATTTAACAGCAGCTAAAGTACTGTCAGACAATATGACAAAACATGGCATGCCTAATATGGTCAATGATGACATCACATCATAACCAATGCTATATATTGGATATATATTGGTATTCAACTCTTTTTTTTTCAAATAAAATGTGAGTCTGGCATAAAATATAAATTTCACACTCAGATTATGTGGTTTAAATACACATCATAACAAATTCAGTAAGCTAGGTGGTTATCAATATTATCAGAAAATCATCAACCTAAGTGGTAAAAAATGGAAATGTGATTTTTAGTTACTGATGAAGAGTACTGATTGGGAAATCAAGGAAAAGGGGACTGATTTAAGAAATAGAGGTCGAAGGTCAAATAAACATTCCTACAATACAATAGAGTCAAAGCAGAAACCAAGACAAGTTCTGAACCAGCAACAGAATGCATCAACACCAATGTCATGTGGTTTTCATCATATTATATATTGTATCACTGCAGTATATACACCATATCTTTGTTAGGTCTTTGTTAGGTTTTCACACTTGTTTAAAAAATATATGATCTTAACTGTGGCTAGCAAATATCTCCACATAAAAATATTATATTATTCTTTTGCAATATTAAAAACTAAAACCCCCCAAAAAAGTGTAAAATTATTCTATTTAAAATAGAAGCAAAATTTGATTTTTTTTTCTATTTTATTCTACATCTACTTAATTTTAATTCTAATTCTATATTATATTTATTTTTTTTTTACTTTTATGTTTAAATTACTTTATTAAAATTCTAGAAATAAATTCTTGAGTTTTAAATCTATTTATTTTAAAAATGTTTTATTTCAATTATTTTGAAATTTAAAAAATGACATTACATTTTTTGAAGTAATCTCTCTTTTTCACGCTTTTGCTCTAAGAATCATTGAAACAATAACAATAAAAACCAAATCTACTACTCATTCTACTATTATCCATAGTTATAGTAAACAGCAGAAAGCAAGTCTAGTAAAGTCGAGTAATTAATAACATAAAAATCCAAAAATCGAGGAACACCTGAAATATGCACGTGTTTCCGAGTATAAGCAACTTAAAATTCTAGGCCTATTCAATATATTCAGAGATAAGATACATAGGCAAAACAACCACAGCAAATTTATATCAAACTGAATTAAATCCTTTGTTAAGAGGCAAGCATACGTTCTTGCTAATATTGTATATTTGTCTTACGTACAACCCATAAGCCAAGTACGATGAACGACGACAACAATGGGTATTATTAAAACTAATGAACATAAGAATACAAGATACTTTAGTAATAACAATAATAATAAATACTTGGACAAGTATAGTGCATCATGCAAAAAAGCCTATGTGCTTGGTGTTTGAGCTCTTTGAGTTTAATATTGCGATAGTGTTAAAATACTTCATAAATTAATGTGGCTCCCACAAGACTAAGCCTACTCTGGCACTCTCTGCTCCGGACGGTCGTTGGCAGAGGCGACACCGAGAAGAACACAGTGCCACAATGTGCGTACAATGGATCGTTTTTAATGACGATCAGTTTAAGCTACGTTCAGACTTGGAGATAAGCCAGGCTTGAGTTAAGCCCGGCTCAACGTTAAGCCCGGCTCAACGTTAAGCCCGGATGAACTTTGCCGGGCGTTCAGACTAGCGGGATTAGCCAGGCGCGAGAATTTGCATATGAACTGTAACCAGGAAACGTGTTTCAAAACTTTGCTCGCGAAACGTACGTACGCTCGCTCATGCGTACGTAATTGAATGCTGATTGGTCATTTTGTTACTCGGAAGTCAATGCAAGATCCTCGCAACGATTAAAACCTGGCTTAGAAAAGTTAAACACGGTGGCATGCCAGGCCTTGTTACTATAGGAACACAACCCTGGCTTGAGATAAGCCACCTAGTTCAGACTGGCAGGTCGATAAACCCGGTGAGTTGAGCCGGGTTTATCCACCTAGTCTGAACTAGGCCTCAGACTGCCACCTGCAATCATCAGATGGTGTCGCGTCGTCTAGCACTCACGGAGAGTGGAGTTAGATCGGTCGTACGATAATCGACGACGAGGACGATGCAGTGAGTGCCCAAATTTAAACTAAAGCGTGGTTGGCCGTGCCTCGGAGGAGTCAATCAGCCCTTTTACCAAGTTACTATAGTTACAACAAAAGTTTAAAACAATTTTAGTAATATTAGTGACAAACATCACATCATTTGAATTTATGATGAACTTAAATATAATAGTAATTAAGTCAAAAGATGAATATAATGAAACGTAATAATATTGAATAACATCACTACCAATAATCATATTGTATATTGCATCTTATATTGAAACAACCTTAACATACTTATTAATGAACACAGATTTAATAGCGGTTACAGTATTAATATTAAAATAATATTTACAATATTGAATATACGAATAAAATTATTTCATAATATTGATAATAAAAAATTAATGAATATAATCATCAGAAAAGTTATTCAAAAAAGCATTAAAAAAAATTAAAGAACATTCATAACTATAATAAAAATATTTATTTAAAAATTATGTTACAATAATAATTATTGCAAAAAGTGATAATAGATTAAATACACACACAGTATTTGTTTAAGAATAATTGATAAATCAAAGCAATACTAAAATATTAGTGATAGAAAATATGTTGATGTGACCTATAAATATATGGCAAGTAGCCCAGAAGGGTCTGTGATCATTAAGGCACTATATAAATGACCAAACAAGTGCAGCGGCTGTGTTATAACATTTGTTGTGGCTTCAGTACGGCGCTTATTAAAAAGCCAACTCAGACAGCGTCGTACGACGCAGCCCGACGTGATTCATCGTCGGGGACAGTCTTAAGCCGCCGTGAGAAATATTAAACATTGTTTAATATTCTACAACGCGACTGCCCCCGATGCAAACAATCGCTTCTGCGTTTAACACACAAACCCGAAGCAACAACAAATCAAGTTCAACGCTTTCTGAGTTGGCCTTAAAAGTGGCCTGTACAACATCTTACTGGAGTTCTCAGTACAAAGATGTGTTGTACATAGGCCTATCTTTTTAAGCGTCAGTTTTATTAAATCCATCAAAAAATGGTTATGTAATAGTGTCTCGATGATATGATACAACGTGTTAGGTAAAATATATACTCTCTATTAAGCACTGCGATATTCATTCAAAATAGAATATCAATAATAAGCTTTGAAGCACGAAATCGAGAGTGGATTTTAGGGGGAAAAAAAGTTTAATATTTCGCTTATTTTAGAGCAGTGCATATTGTAAGACACTTGATTTAGCGTAACTGTGGTTATAATTATTATTATTGTTGTTATTATTTCTAGAAACACAATGCAGTTAATAATTAGGTAGATTTTTCAACCCCAGGGGCAGAATTGGGGGGAGAGGGACCAAGTCTTTTTTGGAAAGTATAATAAAATGAAGAGAAAAAAAAAGAAGAAAAGATATTAATGATTGCCAAGAACGCATTAGAGGTTATTTTCAGGCATCTAGAGAACAAAGGTTTCGCGGTGGAATGTCCCCTGACCCCCTAGGGTAGTTTTGTCTCTCG